GCAGGAGGATGCCAAACCAGATCTTGTTCCTGGCCCCCATGCACAAGCTATCTACTCTTCCCTCATCCACAAGATGCCTAACCTTGTGGCCCACATCATTGTCTTGTCCTGCACTCACATTGTGGCCAAAGAACCCAAGTGGAAAAAGAAGAAAGAGTTGAAGGATGTGGCCACTGCCACTGCTGGGGAATTTGTTCCCAATAAATCCAGCATCACCAAAATGGTGGTGACACAGGTCAAATGGCAGATGAATGTGAAAAAGGTGTGAGTTTCTCATAGGAGTCTGTCAAATAACTCACACCAAATAGAGTTCTCAACCTGGCAAGGGTGCCAAGGGAGGCAAGAAGAAGAAGGATGCCTCTGGGGGCAACCCCAAGAAGAAGAAATCTTCCAAGAAGAATTCTGACAAGCAGTCAAAAACCTTGGACTCAACAAAGGCAAAATCAAAGAAATCAAAGAATGCCAAGCACTCCAAGGCCAAGGGCAAAGAAAAATCTTTGTAGATGCCACCTTCGACTTCCTGGAACAGGTAAGCACTGGTACTATCAGGTTTGAACACCCAAGTACTTACCCACATTGGCTGTTGGATATACCTCCATTTGTAGCTATCACAGTGATTGTGTGCACCTTATGTCCTGTAGACTTCCTGGAAAATAGTCTACTTTACCATCATGTACACATTGGCCCAGACATTCCCCTTTCATTGGCAGACTTGCCAATGTATTGTAAACTCTCTTTTGGATGGAAGTGTCTACTTCCCACCATGTCTGACATGTCTTTGTTATACAATGTGCAGATAAACCTTAAGGAACACCTTCAATGGCGATTCTACCATTTAGAAGGCGCAATGAGTGAAGAAAATCCTGTAAGAGATGTCTATGAACCAGACCTCGATCTAAGGCAGTCAGCTTCTGCCTTTAATATAGACAATAATGAAAATCCTATGCTTGAATGGTGCTTGCAGGAGGGAAATGCTTTTGTTGCTGGTCAGTGCCACACCATAACTCCACAACATTGTCAGTCCACCAAACTGTCAAACTCACTAAAATCCATCAAGCAATGGCTTAATTGCCATGAACTAATGGTCCTACCATCAGACAAAAATCTAGGATGTACTGTAGTCATGGTAAAATGGTTTGAATGACATACCCTCGACCTACTTGAGAAGGAAAACTCAGGATACATCGAACTTGATATCACCACCTCCTTGGAAAAGATTGGTGGTGATATTAAAACACTTTGGCAATAGACAACTCCAGAAGTTCCTGTTGCAACATGTCCCAGCATGAAAATGGGGAGATGAATACATTCCCTGGGACATCTGGCTCAGGATGGTCAAACTACCACAATTGTATGGAATTCCAAAAATCCATAAGAAACCAGTAAAAATGCGCCCTATAGCACCATGCCACTTGGATTTACATAATCCTATGTCAAAGCTAGTCTCGAAACTACTAAAGCCTTTCAGAGAACAATCACCATACATATGGCAAGGGACCAAACAATTGGCCGAAGAGTTTATTTGTACCATTCTACCAAAAACTGAAACCATGTGGATAATCACTAGTCACTGGTGACATAGTTGCATATTACCCAAACATTGACCATAGTCAGGTGGTAGATACAATATTGTCATTGACTAATCCAACCTCTGGCGACTGGCCCCTCCCTTACCTGGAGGGCTTGCTTATACCCAGGTTGGGAACTGATTTGTGGGAAGATATCCTATGTTTTGGTACCACTGGGCTCATCATTGCATTCCACAACTATTGATATATACAGACAGCTGGTGTTGCTATGGGTGTTGCCACATCTCCCAATGTAGCTAACCTATATGTGGCTAAGTCTGATTTTACTTGTGGATGCAACTGGGATGTTCTGTTTCTACAGAGATTCATAGATGACATCTTTGTGATCATCTGTGCTGACTCCATGGAAGATGCACTATATTTAGCAACCCATACATGGTTCCTAAACAGTTGTGTAGTAGACTGGGCCCCAGCTGCTCGGCATTGCATATTCTTAGACATGCAAGTCTGGCTCGATCACAAGAACCAGATCCAATGGAAGCTGTACCAGAAGCCTAATAATAATCTAGAACGAATCCCCTGGGACTCTAGCCACCCTGTTGATGTTAAAAGAGGCACATTCATCAGGGAGTTGTCCTGCCTGGCCATGTTGTCCAGTAACATAGAGTACTACTTGGACACCACTAAGTTTTTAGCAGACCTGTATATTTCATGTGGGTACCCAGCTCAGCTCAAAAAAACATGGGTAAAAAGGAACTGTACTGAATGCTGGAATAAGCACTTTGCTATAAAAGGAGATCCTGAACCAGTGATCACCCTTAAAACCCAGTTTAATGTAATGTGGGATGAGTTTAATATCCACGAACTTAAAAATTGAATGATGTCCCCAATTATCAATGTACAAGATTTTTGGGTAAGCAGTGGCTTGGCATCATGTGACACACTGCTGCAACTCCTGACTCACCTACCAATTCTGTTTGAGCAGCCTCCATTGGCAGATCTTCTTTTTTCAGCCCCTGACTGGGTCTTGATCTACTGACGTGCCTTCTTTCTGGATGCAGATGGCCTCAAGGAAAAAGACACCTGGCTGTTTGATCTAGGTGTGGCATTGTTTGAGAATGCCAAGTGGGTTGTCTCATGTAAATGAACATGCAATCTCAGCAACCTTGTAATGACATGGAACAAAGAGTGGCTGAACCTTATCACCAGAGTGTGCAACCCTATGCCATCAGCACAGGAGTTATTACTGGAACATGATTGGGTCCAGACCAAATGAATTCAAAATCATACACAAGCTATGAGTGAGGTGGAGCTGATCCTGGAAGAATGCAGATTGAACTCTATGTCGGCCTTTGATGGCCCTATCATAGATCTAGGGTTCATCATAGCAGATCAGGAAACATGTGATGTCTTGCAGGAATGGAGATATTCCTGGATAACTGCAGCAGAACCCTGAAGGAATGATCCAGTTTCATACCATTTCAAAATCAAACCTTATTTGATGACCCACAGGGACAGTGATCTTGGGCTATGTATGTGCCCTTAATCCTATTGGATGATAAGCCTACTGCCTTCTCGCATGTGATAGTGTATGCTATATTAAGTTATAGTAATGACATCACCAATGACACAATCATTGATAAGCACCAAGCTGGCCCTAAAGTCACTGGGTGTATATAACAGCTAGGATAGTCCACTGAAGAGCTGCAACTCAGCAAAATTCCTTGGTGTCCTGGAGAGGACACAAAAATTTGGGCTTTCTGATTTGCAGCATATGTTTTCTTGTTTTATTACTCCACCTCCTGCCAGTCCTCCTGGCCCTTTGGGTACTCCCCAAAGTAACAATTCTAACTTCAAAAACTTGCTGAAATGCAAGACAAAATCACCCTAGTACTGAGGGCCTGTGACATGGATTGGTTCTATAGTAAACTCTGTTTTCCCGCCAACTCCTCAATGATGTTGACATCAGTAAACATCGAGAACATCGCCAAAACTCCCGCAGAATGGATTTCTCTAGTCGGCACCACGAAGTAGTCGTGAACACCCACTTGGTCGTCGTCGTCTTTATTAGATACCTGTGGGATAATGTGTGCAGTTTGCAGAACTCCATAGCTACCGGTCCGAGGGCCGTCTTTCCAGTCCGCCTTTCCAGTAAGCAAGCAACAATTATTGTCACGGCGCCTTGCCTTATTCGAGATATCAGAGGGGTCAATCTGCAGAATTTGCATTGGAACGTACAGTCGCCCGCGAGTCGTAATAATCTACACCACTATCCTGTGGAACAGCCATGCCGACATCTTCAGGCGACGGGGATGAGGGTGGGGACAAGTCCCAGGGACGGAGTTGGTGGGGGAGTTGGTCCGCCCCTGCGCCTGACTGTGAAAGGACCAGTTAGTGACTGCCAACAGGGAAAAGGCTGAGATTTACAAGTGCAAGTAAAATGTCTCACATAAAACTCAGCTAACTCCATGAGCACTGCATGACTCTCTGCCGAGGTAATTTGCCGTTGAACTTGCCCTTGCCCATTAGCGGATGCGGCCCACCCCTATTTATTGTCCTACGCACGCCGAGACAACATGCCCACCCCGCCCCCTCCCAATCACTTTCCGCCAGGAGAGCTTCATGTTGCATACCAACGGTGCCTCGCTCTCGAGGCCGCGGCGCCCAGACTTCGGGCTCCTGCCCACTGTCCTCCCCCTGTCATATGTGCTCGTATTCTCGGTCATTTATTGCGCTTGTAGCAAACGAACACTGAAGTACTGAGATAGGAGCTGTGGCGCGCTTACTGTGAGTGCTCCAACTGAACATTACAGAAGTTAAAACTTCTGTTTCCGCTTGCCACCCAAGCTCTTATTTGGCAACGGCCTTGAAACCAAACAACCGCCTCCTAACCATAGATTGACGCCGCCATCGCGGACACGACCACGCAAAAGCAGGTCCACCTCCATTGCGAGTACAGTGTCACTCGAGGAGGTGGACAAGCCTGCGAAACTGTACTATTTGATGACCCGTCTGTTGGTCTCGAATCATCCAACGAATCTACCACGCTGATCAGTAAGTCAGTCCAGTGGATAATCTGCTTCGATTGCAGTGCCCGACTCCACGCGCACTTCAATCATGCCACTTAGGTGACCCTCGCTGAGTTCCTTGGGTGAACAACTCCAAGAAACATGGTTTTTGTGTCGTTGGCAAGAGAAACTCGTATTTAGAAGAGGCTGCTCGTGTTTAAATGACTGGGGGAGTCGGTCACGGACGCTGGCAATTTTGAATTCTGTCCTCGCAGTGTCAGCTTCGATTAGATAATTATGAACGCAATGGTTCAATGGCAGTCCCTGAAGCTGAAGCTTGAAGAGCTGACGAGTGAATCAATCTGACCTGCAGGTAACGGTGTCTGGTGCTGTACCGTGTCTAAAATGCATTTGCACCAGTGAAACTGCTTGATGCTGAGCGACCGTTGGAGCATGGACTGCCCTCCGCATTGTCAATGAAATGACTAACACTAGGTGGTCACAGTGAGCTATCCATATGCACACATCACAACATTTTATGTTCGACTCTTAGCTTGCTAACACACTTCAGGTCGGAGCGGTGCATCTACTTTGTAGGTTCCACTGCCTCCAAGGGGGGTGGGCCATCGTCCGAATCGTATCCACTGTCATCATCAGCTCCTTCAGTTCCTTCAGCTCCAACGCCTCCATCATCACCACTTCCCGGACCTCCCATATCTCCCATTTGGCTCATCATCTAGGGTTTGATTTGTCAGCCTACGACGAAGCAAGACAACGAAATAACTGCTCACTTTCTCAAAGTCCATACCACCCATACCGCCCATACCGCCCATACCGCCCATACCGCCCATACCGCCCATGCCGCCCATGCCGCCCATACCAAAATCGTCTTCCACTGGACCGCTGTCGCCTTCTTGCTCGTCCTCATCGACCCATTTGCTAAAATCAGTTTTAATGAAGGCGTTCCTGACCTTCTCCTTTGTTAACCTAGGCCAGTATTCCTCTTGCTTTTCTTTCTTCCGGAGGACAATGAAAAATAAGCGGTCAGAGAGGTGTTTGGTGGAGAGCTAATCGGATGCGTAAGTGGGTGAAAAAAGAGGGGGAAGAAGCCGTACCTCTGGGACAATCTCGCTGTAGAAAGGCAGAGAAAACTCGTAGTGTTTGACAGGAACACTGTTGAAGGGTGTTAAGTGAGTGAAACGTGTACTAGTGATAGGCTGAGCTACGTACCCTGCATTCCCAGCGTCAGCTTCAAAACTGATACGCTCTGAGTCCAATTCACATGTTAGCGAAGACTCGACGATGTTTGGGAGGTTGACGGTCAGATATACGACGTTCTACCAAGAGAGTCTCAGTATGACGATCGTAATAATGCGACATTATCGATGGAGTGGGATTATATTACCTTTGCCTCGTCTGATGCGCTGCTGCGCTGAGCCCACAGAACCTCTGGGTGTACTGACATGCTGATCTGAAAAGATGGAGAATCGTATCGAGTTGATCGGATGGTGAAACCAAGGTCACGTGGATCGATATCGGTACCCTGTGTTCCCTTTCTGGGAAGTCATTTCCGCGTCTGCCAGTACACGGCTGCAAGCTGACCAGCAGAAATCATGGCGACTGCAAGAAAGTTGCGGGTCGCATTTATTCACCCCGACCTTGGAATCGGTGGGTGCGTCCTATGTTTGTCGTTGTAAACAGCTCCTTCATGACACTGTTGTAGGAGGAGCCGAAAGGCTCGTTGTGGACGCTGCACTTGGGCTGCAGGCTCTCGGGCACTCTGTTGACATTTACACTTCGCACCACGATAAGGAACACTGCTTTGATGAGACTCGAAATGGTATGCCCGATTCATCTTGTGGAATTCTTCTGCGGTTGACTCAGACACAGGCACGTTGCGCGTACACCACGTCGTCCCCCCGTTTCCCCGCTCCTGGAAGGGCAAGTTCCACATCTTACTCGCCCATGCTAGACAACTGCATTTAACAAAATTTTTGTTGAGTTCACGCGTGGACCAGCACGACATTTTCTTCGTAGACCAACTGTCGACGTGTATACCGTTGTTGCGGTTTTGTGGGGGAAAACGCGTCGTGTTCTACTGTCATTTCCCAGATAAGCTCCTCGCTAACGGTGCATTCGTCGAGGGGAAAGTGCTGAAGAGGAAAGTTGGGATATTAAAGCGAATCTATCGATACCCTATGGACTGGCTGGAGGAAGCGACAACGGGTATTTTGGACCATCATTTACCTCGTCAAGTCGTGCTCATGAGATTCGTGTAGGACAGGCCGATGTCATTCTTGCTAACTCCAAATTCACAGCTCGAGTGACGATGGCTCACTTTAGCTCTCTGAAAACGTCGCCCGAGGTAGTATATCCGGGTATCAACATCCATGCATACCAAGCTTCAGTGGATATGACGGATCCCGATATTGTTCAAGTTACTTCGTAAGGGACATTATCAGCCACCACTGTATATGTGCTCTTACCAATGTAACAGTCCAAGACCGACGCTCCTGTCTCTCAACCGTTTCGAAATGAAAAAGAATGCAGCACTCGCCATAGAAGCATTTTTCCGTCTCAGAGGGAAACCCACGGTGCCCGACAACATGCGACTCGTCCTTGCTGGTCTGTATCCGGTCCACTTATCACCCCCATAACTCACTCCCCACGTAATAGGTGGCTACGACCCACGTCTCGAAGATAACATCCGAACCCTCAGCAATTTGATCGATCTCGCGCGAGCGTGCAACCTCACATACAAAGTAATTACACCCTCCAAATCCAGCGCTCGCGCCCCCTCTTTCCCAGACGCAACCTCACACACGGAACCAGACGTTCTCTTCCTCCTCAATTTCACGACCGGACAACGATCAGCACTTCTCCAAGCCCCCTCGACGGTCGCACTTCTCTACACGCCTGCGAACGAGCACTTTGGGATCGGACCCGTAGAGGGCATGCTTTGTGGATTGCCTGTTCTGGCATGCGACAGCGGTGGGCCAACAGAGAGTATCGTTGACGGTCAGTTATCAGAAAGGACGGGGTGGCTCCGCACGCCCGATCCGGGTGTTTGGGCAGACGCGTTAGAGGATATATGCCGACTGTCAGAGGTGGAGCGAGCTGCCTTGACGCGTCGATGTAAGGACCGGGCGATGTCGATGTTTGGGATGGAGGCCATGGCAAAGGCGATGGACGTCTCCCTCCGTGAGGCGGTTGACATGGGTGCTATCCACACGTCGATGAAGGAGGTTGGGTTTGCACTCGCATTCGTGGTTGGCTTGATTCTTACTATCATATTTCGTCTATGACCTGAGAACGGCACCGTGGACATAGGGATGTTTGATCAGGAGTAAAATGAATGTTTTGTTTACCCCCATCGTTCTCGTCAAACTTGCATGACAGAACATCCCAGTCGACACCTTAACGAGGTGAGTCCTGGTATGCATGCATAGTGGCTCAATTCAATTTCTACCGAGCAGATTGTCATCGCAAGAGTATGCTCCGAAACAGGATATGTATCACGGAATAACTTACACCCTCTTTTAACTCACACGTCTCGATCAAAGGTTCGGTCTTCTGTCCTCTCTCAATCCTCATCGTCGTTAAGAGCCCCTGCTTCGTCAGCTCCTGCAACAAATCCTTCGTCGCATTCGCCTTCGTATCGTCCCTCACGCTTCCAACCACCGTCTCCGTCTCCAACACGAGTATTCACCTTTGCACTCCGATCTGCAACGGTTATTATGCTGATGCCAGGTGATAAAATCTTTAGTGCGGTTTTGCTCATATCTCTTTGACGCTCGGAATTAAGAATAGCAGCGTTGCTGCGATAGCAACGGGATCTTCCATCGGGGAGGCTCCCACGTCCAAAATACGAATATTCTCGCTCGTCCGCTCCATTTTCAACGTTGTACATTCCTTGAGGGTATGCAACTTCTGACAAGGGGCAGTAATATATACCACTCCATATAGCGTCAACGCGGACGTGCGTAGTTGACCGCATCGGTCTGCCAATCCTGACCCATGCAGAGCTTGAGCTTCTCGAGATGGAGGCCATGCATCTGCAATGCATGTTGTCATCGTGTCATCAGGGTATGGCGTCTGGGGGTTTTCCGGCTGTATGACGAGGTTTTCAATGCGAGTAAGGGTTCGAGGGCATCCTTTGTCACTTCGTGCAGGTATTGGTTGGCACGTAGGTCATCAATGAATCCGCCGATCGAGGACTTCAAAATCTCGAGTTTACCGTGGTCGAGGAACTTTGATAGCGGATCGAAAAGGCCCCAAACGAAGGGGATGGGTGCAACGTCGCCAGGGAGAAAGTCAACAGGGGTGGGTCCAAGTGTGATCTGTTGCATAAACTTGGTGACCTGATCGAGTTTGTGTGCGCGGAGACTAAACTTCTCGATGGAGGGTAGGTGAATATCTTCAACAAGTTCACACTCGTCGTCATCGTCATCGTCATCGGGGATGCCACAATAGACGCTGGTCAGATGCTCGGCTTCGACAACAAAATCTGAGATGCGTTCTGCAGCGTCGGTTGGGGATATAGTGGAAGAAACTCTTCGAGATGTGGACAGTAAATATACAGGAACGACATAAATGTCCGTTTGCACGCGGGTCAGCAATCGCCAGGGAAATTAAGAGTAGAAGAGTAGGGGGAAAGACGAATCGAATGAACGAGAACGTGTTGTCACTGTTTGCTGGCCACGAAAGTATCTTGAGGTTAGGAAGAAGCGCATTCCCAGGCGCACGGGGAGGGGGCTCAAGAGACGTAAGGGGTCCAAACTCATGAAGGGATCTTGCTGCCGATAACCCAGAATACGCACAGGTCTAGCGTAGCCTTAGAGAATATGAAAGTGAGAAGGTTCGAGTGGCAGGTCAAAACGCTGCGTCCCAGCCCAAGAGGTGTGCGATGTTAAAGTCTCGTACACTAACTGCAGAAGTCAAGGGGGGGACCCCGCCCCCCGTGACAGTCACAAAATTACTATGTTTAGGTCGTCACGTGCGCTTTAGAATAACAGAATTATTTTCGAATGGCAGGGACCCCGTTCACCGCAATACGAGGAGAGCTACAAACGACAAGTCGGATTTTGCATCAGATGCGAACACAATGTGACAACGAAAGTACTCGAAATGATTCTAAAGCATCACGTGAATGATAGTATGGTTTTTTCGAGCATCAAGTGAGCATAATGGCAGCGGGGAAAAAAGAGAAAAAAAACTATGTGCGAGCTCGTTTGCCTCTAGACAAACAGCTACCCCCAGCGGCGACTGCCCTTGTGCTGTTGCCCTTCCTCTTCTGCCCAGTGGAAACTGCTAAATCCCTGTAGTTCTCCTTCTCAGCAATGAGTGTAAAAGCAGGGCGAGCAGGAACACCAGCTTTCTTCTCCTTGGCGGGCATGATGTATAAGATGTCAAAGACATGGTGGGGTAAATGGTGACCCATCACCTTTCCAGGATGAGCGTACTCTGGATGGAAGAAGCCGAGGTGCTGCTCCATGTTATAGTGCCAAACTGCATCTCTGAACTCGGTATCGCGCCCATGGTGGACACATAATGGACAGACAACAGGGACATTGTGGCATGGGCAGGCAGTGGATCCTCGCTCCCCAAATCCATATTTGAAGGGGATTTGGTAAATGCAGCATGTATCGATCTCTTTTGTGTGTTTGGTTGACTTCAACTTGACCACGCAATCGGAATGACCTGAACATCCACAGAAACCACATGGAAACAACTGACCAACAGCAGAATACAAATCAGTCTCTCCTACCCCTCGCGATGCACGAAGGATGTGTGTGCCCATATGAGAACATAAGTCTGCAGTTGGCTTTCAACAGAGAGGACAGTTCACTTCTACACCATTCCCACTACCAGCACACAATGTGACTCTTGCTTCTTCACAAGACAATGCTGGACTGCCTGAAAGTATTTTAGTACAGGTATATAGTACTCTTGGATAATCTCACCATTCATTGAGTACAGAAAGCTTAAATTCGAGATCTGCATCAGTGTGATATTCGAGACAGCGAGCTTTGAATCCACAATCCACTTCCACAACACATTAACAGCTACCTCAAGTGTGTTGTTACTGATAGCCCATGTGATGCCATGAGAGTTGACTTCGGCCAAGTGCTCAGAAGGCAGGTAGTTGGCAGCAGTGACAATGCTAGGATTGACAAGATGGATCAAGGCACCGAGTGTTGTCATCTCAACCACTTTCTGTGTTGAGACATTGGATCCGGGGAGGGGAGAACTAGCCTTCAAATACACTCCATTCCAGATCCAGAAGCAATCATCATCAGGTGTCAGTGGAGACACCAATAGAGTAAGAATCTCGCCAGTAATCTTCACCTTTCCAGCTACTGAGAGGAGAGTGTCAAAATTGATATCAGAACGTGAAATGCCATTCTCATGGATAGCCGTTGAACGAAGTAGGGCAAGATGGGTAGCATTGTCATGAAAGTGGATGAGCGTCAGGTAAGGGTTGCCAACAATGAAAGAAGCGCAGGCTGCAGTTGAGTCAGATAGCAATGACACACTTTCCATGGGCTTATTGACAGCTGTGTAGCCACGAACTCGAAGGAGGTGATCGTGTGACTTGGGGGTGAAGTTACCATTGAAAAGAACACAACAGACCATAGATTTGTGAACATATTTGCTGTTGACGAAGAGGTAATCGAGAGGCCAGATGCCAGGGCCAGATGGTGGAGACAACAGTGAAGAATCCCCATTTTTGACCAATAAGGTAGGATCACCAATCTCATCCTCAAGTTTGTCTTCGAAGCTTGGAACATCTTCACTCACCTCCTCTGCCTCCTCCACCTCATCTCCATGAACTTCCTCCAGGTCCACCTCAATCTGAGCTTCGCAAGGATTGGAACGCTCTATGGTTGTAGTTGTGGTGGGAGCAGGTGTGATGGAACTTGGGTCATCACCATCAATGTCATCTCCATCATCATTGATTCCTGGATACCTCCTGTGACCGAAGACAGAGAGTAAGTCCACATCAGAGTTTGTGAACAAGGTGTCAAAGGCATAATCATCTGGATCGAGGGTTGAGTCTGTGAGCAACCCTAGGGCAATAGCATGCCCATGGGTCCAAGCACTCGGAAGGTTGCAGTTGTGTGATGTGAGGTCACCATTCCACATCTGATGATTGATGTGGTTGACGTGTTCTGAGTGAGAGAAATTGAGACGATGATGGCCATGACTGAGATCCAGGTTACATGCATAGATACTCCCAACATCCCTCACTGCACACAGATGATCAATGGCTTGTTTGTAGTTAATTGCGCTGTTATGACCACCACACATCCACAGGAATGCAAAGAGTAATTCAATGGCATCATCTCCAACATCTGGGAGATAAAAGGGGAAGGAAGCATCGAGCTGCTGCTGTTTTGCAATACAAAAGATAGCATTCTTGACCATGGTTTGAGTATCATAATACAATTGATCTGGCATGAAAGCACATTGATGTGCATGATAGAGAGCAAAGAGTAAGTGAGCAAAAGCAGAGAGGTGCATAACTTGTTCTGTGAGAGAAAGCATGGTATTGGTGAATGGCTCAAGGAGGTGATGTAGCAGGTTCCCTAGCATCGAGAGCACCTCAAAATCCATGATGGCATTGACATCAGGAGGGTAGCCTGGCTGTGCATAAGGTGCCTGTGTGGGGTTGATCTGCCCAAGCTGGGTGATTGCCTTGATGAGTTCTACTGCGCATGGGACGTCTTGTGGGTCATCAGGGTAGAGGAGCTTCTGTGCCTTGACATTATCACAATCCTCAAGCCAGGTCAGATAGCGAAGTAGAAACTTTGCATTTATATGACACCCATTGTTAAGCATTACCCCATGGACTGAGCAGAGCATAGTGCAAAAACCTGGGACAAGAGTCAGATGACTCCATGGAGAGAACAGAGTACTCATGCTTTATGATATGCTTGTAATCGAAGTCCAGCATCATGTCATGGGGACCAGTTTGAAGATTAAGGCCAGGGAGACCAGAGAGTATGCCATAGAGGGGTGATGATTCATCGAGCTTTGATTTCATGAAAATCTTGTGTCCAGCTTTTTGTCTGGTGGAGTCACCATCCGTCACAAAAGACCACGGTGGGCCGACCAGCTTCTGTGCATCGTTGGAGTACCATGCATCAATAACGTTCTCAATAACCTTTTCCCAGTCATTGTAGTCCTCCTCCTTGCATGATGGTGCAGCAAGAATAGGATATGTTTGATCCTCACCAAAGCAGTGTGCAATGATGACAGTCATTTCCTTCCCAAGATGCACCTCACCAGATGTGAGTTTTTTGGCAATATGCATAGCTGACTCGTAGGTATTGAGGACAGGATCAACAGTGTGACCATGCTTCCAGCATAGGCTGCCCGCCACATTTGCAGAGGGAAAGTAAACAGCGCACTCTTCAAGTGCAACCTCATCTGTCAGCAAACTGACACCATGGAGAGCTGTGCAGCCAGCTGCAATATGGGGTTCTACAACAACTCCATGGATGTTCTTGACGACGACGTTGAGAGTGATCGTTCCAATAACTGGGGTGATTGTGACAGGACTGAAGTGGTTGTGGACGACAGAGTGGAGAGACAGGAGACCAAGACGGTGGTTGAGCACATAGAGTAAGTTAGCCCCACCAAGACAATAGACGAGAAGTGCAAGATCATAGGCATCACTGCTGTAGTTACAGGGTTTGTAGCCATACTCAATTGCTTCCTCGATCTTTCACAGGATGGTGTTGATACCAGCCCCATTGTTGAGAAGCATCGTGAGTAGCTGCCAGAGCCATGGTAGATCAGACTGAGAGAGAGCCATGACTAACGTGGAGTGAGCCTCAATTGTTCCCAGCTTGCAGGCTATAACATGACCATCATTGAGAGACTGGATGTATTATTAGCTGGAATATCCTGACTTAAACGTGCTGCACTAACCTTTAATTTCCACCTATTTAACTCATGGTCACAGCATTCAATTGTAAGTGACAGTTGCACCATGTTCTGGAGTGAGTGTCGAGTACCCGGTTGGTAGGTGGGCCAGTTTTCACCAAGCTGGGCGATCTCAGTCTCCAGACCAGCACAAGGAGGGCAGCATGGGGATCCTTGTAGTATAATATGATAACACTCAGCAGAGCATGCAAATACTTGACCATTGAGAATGTTCAACGTGAAGGGTAACTTGTCGTAATGCCCTGCAAGGGTGTGGTGCCATGGCAAGGTCATTTGCATGTTTGCTTTTTGGGGAACATGCCAATGGAAAGGTAAGCCATAGCAGGGTGGAGGGGGAGGGCCAAAAACAGGACCAAGTGGAAAGATCAGACCATCTCCATTGGTAGTAGACTGAGAGCATGCATCATCAAGGCTATTATAATGTTCTCAGCTGAAGAAAGGAACGCAAGAGACAATGGATGAAAAGTACCTTGGATTGATTAATGTATCAGAAGTATTTGCCAGGCTAGTTAATGGTAGTGGTGCAGGCACAATGGAGGGATTTGGAGCACTGAGGTCTTGGAGGATGGATACCGACACATCCTTCTCCTTGCGTTGAAGGGCTGCACGACACACTTTCTGGCGATAGTGGTTGGCAAGGGCTGTAAACTGACCACTATGCTTAAGAGCGATGCTGCTAGAAATGCCTGTTTTGACAGGGAGGGAGCAGCTAGGGCATTCGAGAATGTGAAAACTGTTATCTGGTATTAAAACTGTAAGGACATCATGAGTGTACAGAATGAAAAATGCCCAAGGAGTCCCCATGTCGAGGAGTTTGTCTATTTGATTGCAAGAAAGCCATGCTTGAGATGCAGAACTTGGATGTGGAAGGTGAGAAGATGTGGAAGGAGAAGCAAGAGATGTGGTGGTTATGCAAAAAGTGGCCTCAAGCCCATTAGGTGATTCAAAAGGTGATAATGTGGCTGGTGCAGATAGGCTACAATAATCAGAATACAGTTTGGGGCCTGTGTGTGATTGGTGCCATGATAGGGTAGTATTAGTTGCTGGGTATAACTGGGTTTGAGAATTCTGGGACTCAGAGCTCTGAGCAGGATTATCTAGGTTTGGTACAGAATCAGGTAACATTCTAATGTGACAGAGTGATGTCAGGGATAAATGGCAAGTGCATCCATGCAATAGCAATATCCTTGGTGGAGGAATGAAGGAATGAGTTGAGAAAGAGAGCAGACAAGAAGTGAATGTATGCGTTGACTGTATCAGGGGCTATTTCCATCCTGATTTGGACATATCATACAGATCATTGAATTCCTCATATCTCAATAACAACTGCAATTGAAAAGAAACTAAGTGACTAGAATGATAGAGTATATAGTATATTGGGTCCCTTTACCAAGGCACAGAGCAGAGAAATGCTAAATTGAATGTGCTAGGACGAAGTCGAGTGAAATCACTGCAGTAGCCTCAATTTTGCCCAAAAGGGAATAAAAACAAGACCCCAGACACCAGTTGGCAGGATGCCTGAAGTGGGGTTGGTGTTCGGAATTCTCTGAATGTGCACCTCTTGTCCCAGCCATGTTGATTCCCCAACAACATGCAGGGTACTCATGATTAAATCATCAGATCTGCTGCAAACCTTGACTGGTAAGCAGGTGAGGAGAGGATACAACGAGTTGAGATCAGTTCAGAGTGCATCGAGGGCTGGTTCCTTAAGTGATTTGCGGGTACAGGCGATGCACTGGCAGACTGTTTTGGCAAATTGAAACATGGTGTTGGAAGGCGAGGACACAGCCATATTGGGCTTAGTCAGATGGAGGTGGACAACTATGTCACATGCTTTCCCCATGGATATTTACTGCCAACTACACAGCCATTTTACATAACCCTACACCTGACATTTTTTGGAAATTGCTGTAACTATGTACATCATATCTGTTGGAACATAAAGTGCCCCTGTGGTACTTGACCACTGTGCGATGTTTTGGCTGCTTACATAAGCTGAAATAGCGCACATACTTGTAGTATTTTCTACTAGTATTCCCTCAGTAGTTTGTTCACTACTGAGGGTAAGTCCATTCATATTACAAGTATTCTACTATACTGACATCCTGTAGTAGCCTACAGGTATATCTAATATATCAGTAGTTTGTTCACTACTGAGGTAGCCCACAGATATTTCTACAATATCTTCCCACACTGGATTTCAGTCTCCTCAGCTTGATGAAGCATACAGATCCTTCCTGCCTGCTCCCTGCAATGTCTTTATTCCAATCTCATCCATCACTCTGCCCACATTGTGACAGCTGCAGTATAATCTACTGTTCTCCAGCCTCCCTGATTGCATCCATGATGAGTATGACATGCATCTTGCCTTTTTACTGCAAGACCCACCAGAAGACATCCCCCCTTCTCCCTCTCCTCCATCAGAGCCCCATTCATGAAGCTTTTATTAACTTTGCTGAGAGGACAAATGGGTGGGAGACACAATCACCTGGTTAGGGTTACACTTTTGGGATGATTAGTCATCTTGGACTTTTCCTTTTGCTTATCCTTTCATGCTTACATGATACTTAGTAAGGCCATGCCTAGTTGCTAACACATGTATGCATTCATCCAATACTGTAGTTTTCTCTTTTGTTTACTTCTTTCTCAAACATTCTCTTGTGGCAGCACGAACAAACAGTAAGGCAGTATATAAGTCCCATTGTTTGTCATAGCCAGTCTCTCTAATCTAGTTTGTTTTGAGCTTGTCCCTCAATCAATGGGTTCCACTCCCAATCTCTCTGGTTTGGAGTGATAGCTGAGAAGACTCTTGTCTTTGGTTGCTTCAGTCAGGTTGGGTCCATCATCTTGGTTATGAGGTGATGGAGTGTGGAAGATTGTCAGATGGAGGTCAGAATGACCAGCTTGCAAACATCAGTAAATCACTTTTGCTGGCCAGAGCTGTCCAGAGCTGTCCAGCACTGGACAGATTCCCTAGGACTACCAGCTCACAAAGTGGTCTACTGATGAAGCACTTTCACCTTCAGCATGAGAGCAGCATCAAGCAGAGAATGTTTGGAATTGTTCAACCATGGAAGGAAGGTGATTCAGATTAGCCAGTGCTGCAGCAAGGTTGTCAGCAACCTCTCTTTGGGATTGAGCTTGAGTTCTCATAATGGCATAAGTTTTTCAGAGGGCAGAAAATGAGATTGTACAAGTGTGAGTATGAATATACTGTCAAGTCTGGGCCTACTCTGACCAACTCTGACATGAAACAAGTCTGGGGAGAGGTTTGGAAGCAAGTCTGACACAGTCAAAAGGAACTCCAACTAGTGGAGGATCAGCAGGAACAAAGTCTACTGAGATGATTGGGTCCAGACCAAATGAATTCAAATATGTACATGAGCTATGCATGAGGCAGAGCTAATCCTGGAAGAGTGTGGTTTAAACTCTATGTCAGCCCTTGATGGCCCAATTATTGACTTAGGGTTTATCATTGCTGATCAGGAAACACACAATGTCCTTAAGGAATGGAGATATTCCTGGATAACTGCAGCAGAACCCTGAAGGAATGATCCAGTTTCACCAAACCATTTGAAAATCAAACCTTAATTTTGACAACCCATGGGAGTCACAGGGATGGTGATCAAAGGCTATGTATGAGCCTTATTTTCCATTGGATGGTCACTTACTGCCTTCTTGTGCATGATAGTGTATACTATATTAAGTTATAGTAATGACATCACCAATGATGCAATCATTGATAAGCACTAAGCCTGCCCTAAAGTCATTGGGCATATTTATAGGCTTGGATAGTCCACTGAAGAGCTGCATTACAGCAAAATTTCTTGGTGTCCAGAGCCTGGACATGAAAATTTGGGCTTTCCATACTGCAGCATATGTTTTTTGTTTTATTACTCTGCCTTTCCCCATCATACTCACATACTATGCCTTGCACCCAGTCCCTCCCCCTTCAGATCCCCTGCCACAGCTCATCTGTCAGACAAGCTGAAGTCACTGCCACCCTTGTCAACCTTGACTTGGGCTCACAATTGGGCCTTGAGCCCATTGTCAAGGATGACCAGAACCCTCTGGTTCCTGGTGGTTCAAGACTACCCCTGCTGTGAGCTCTGCTCATCCTGGCCACAAAATTTCATGGCTGGACTCCTGGTGATCCTGTTGATGGCAACGTCCAACTTTGCTCTGGAATGGCTGCAGAGGCTACTTCAGTCACTCAGGTGATTGATTTGCTTCCCATCAAATACTGCCTGTCACTCCACCCTGAACTCCTTCAGATCACAGATATCATGATGAAGGCTGAGCTGGTTACTAACCAACTCAATTGCCTTCAAGTAGATTGTATTGCTCAGTGGATTCCTAATTTCCTATGTAGCTGTAAGCTGCCTACCATCCAGTTTTCCAAAAATGCTAGGACTGCTCTCCCTAATCTTGGCAAGTCTGTGGTCAAAGGCCATAAGAAATACCTTTTCAACCTTCTTGATGCTGTCATTTCAGAGAAGGAGAAGGAAGAGTGCCAGCTACAGGCTAGTCTCAATATTGTCACCATTACTAATTGACTTTATGAAATTGACACTATGGTATAATCCAACTTGGAAAAGTTGTGCTTAGTACCAAAAGATACTAAGAAGTTGTTGAATGAGGTGGTGAGAGAGGATGAGGAACCAGAACTTATTCCCACCCCCCACATTGCCACTATCTACTCCTCCCTATTGCATGAGTTACCAAACCTCATTGCCCATATCATCATCCTCTTGCATGCTCACATCATTGCCAAGGAAC